CTAGTCCATTTAACCTTATTGGCCACCAAATTTTTAGAAAGTTTGATTTGTAGTCATAGTTTCACCCCATGTAAATTTACTTCTACATTTCTGTCGCGTTTCTCTCGATAATAAACTTATTGATCAACACAGCTTTGGCTGAATACTTTAGAATGCAATTTCTACTCTTCCTTGCTCTCGTTGGCACCGCTCGAACCTTCTGGATTGATTATCTTGGACTCGGCCGTGGACGTATAGGGAGAGGTTGGACAGCTGGAGCAGCGACAACCTACACCGCGCCTCCAATTCCTGCTGCAGGAGCATACGCTGTAGCACCAGGAGGACCAGTTGGACCAGGAGGACCTCTCCCTATCGGACCAGGAGGACCTGTCCCAATCGGACCAGGTGGGCCTGTCCCTGTCGGACCGATCGATGCATATGTCGTAGCCAAAGGCGTAAATGGTGGCGTCGCAGGACCTGCTGGCATCGTTAGAAATGGAGGGGCAGCTCCCATTGGGGCAGGCATAGCACCTAGACCAGGCGCACCATTTGTTGCCGTTCCTATTGGTGTGGTTCCAGGTGGCGTTGCTCCCGGTGGACCAGCGGGAGGAGTATATGTACCAGGACCTGCTCCGGGAGGACCACTACCACGATTAGTACCAGGTGGAGTTGCACCCGGCGGGGGTGTCGTTCCTGGTGGACTCCCAGGAGGAGTGTACGTAGGAGGACCACGAATTGTTCCAGGTGGAGTAGGAGGAATAGCCACAGGTGGTTTCGAAGTAGTTGCAGGAGGCGCCTTTTCCGTAGCAGAAGGAGTTGTTTCAGGAGGGAGTGCAGTCATTCCAAGTGAACCAGGTGTTTTGACAGGAGTAGCAACAGGCGCTTATGCAGTACCAAAAGGGGTGATTCCAGGAGGACCAGAAAGTGTAGTTCCAGCAGGACCAGGAGTAGTAATTCCAGGTGGACCCGGTGGAGTAATTCCAAGCGCACCTGGCACCGTTGTTCCTGGCCCGGTAGCTGGAGGACCTACAGGTGGAATTTACCTAACAGGCGTAGGAGTAGTTCCAGCTGGACCAAGTGGAGTAGTTCCAAGCGGGCCAGGAGGAGTAGTTCCAGGAGGTCCGAGTGACGTTGCAGGAGCAGCGTATGCAGGACCTGGAGCAGTAGTTCCCGGTGCTCCAGTGGAAGTAGTTCCAAGTGGACCAAGTGTGGTGTTGCCAGCTGGTCCAAGAGGAGTAATTCCAGCCGCAGCTCCATATGTCGCCCCTGTGCCTGGAGGAGTCGCTGTTGTTGGACCAGCAGGTGTAGTCGCACGAGGTGGAGCAGGTGGACCAGCAGGCGCATATATGGGACCTGTACCTGGAGGACCAGGTGGACCACCCGGAACAGTGGGACCTGTCCCATTTCCAGAAA